GTTTGTGTCAGTAACTGTAGGGGTATAAAATAATGACTGATTTAGGGTCTACCACCATTATTGGTAAGTCCAGGGCTGTTGTCTCACTGGTATTCCTGGAAATCCAAAGCAATCAAGTTACAATGCCTGCATTGTCTAAGTAAATTTCCTTCCTCTCCATTACAGCAAGACAAGAGGCCTCTTTGGTAGTGCTGTATGTGGAGGCAGGCCTTGCGCGTGTGTGTGTGTGTGTGTGTGTGTGTGTGTGGGTGTGTGTGTGTGTGTGTGTGTGTGTGTGTGTGGTGGTGTGTGAGTGTTGGTGTGTGTGGTTTGGTGTGTGTGTGTGTGTGTGTGTGTGTGTGTGTGTGTGTGTGTGTGTGTGTGTAAGCCTGGCTTTACAGTGAATAATGGCAACCAAAAGAATGTGTACTTCCAAAGAACTGAAGATATGACATCTTCAAATTCTTCTTTATTGAATTGCATGTTGTAGGAAAGGACCTGGTAATTATTTGAGACACACTATATTTAAATAGCATTGCTTTAATAAACAAGGAATACTTTAAATTGTGATGGAGATGTAATGATGTGGTGTATAAAAGAGTAGATCTGATGTGCCACATGTGATTAATGGATGTAATTAGATGTGTGCTGATCATCATGGTCTCCAGCAGAAGTTTCTGTCTGTGCTGCTGACTCAAGCTTTCCCTTACTGTAAATGCCACTTCCTTTTACTTGTAGTTGTAGTCTCCAACACCCAGCAGCATCAGTTTAAACCACTGGTGTACTCAGTCAGCTGTGTGAAATGTTTTCTCCTTCAGACAAAATTTAATCTTTTTGGTTTCTTTTGAAAAAACAACCTAAATTAATTTATTCGCCTACGGCAAAAGTTTGTTTCTTTTTAATTAAGGAGATTTAGGCAGATTACTCCCTACTTACTGAGGAATACTGTGAGATTTTTTTTTTTTTTTGCATTTGATTGTTTTGCTGTTATAGCTTAGTGTTCACTTGTTCATGAAGAATATGACAACAAGCCCAGGCTAGGGGAGTGTGGGTAAGATTTTTCTTGTGATTAACTCTGTGTTTAAGAAACCCCCGTATAAGGAAGTTCAACTTGATGGCTTAACCCCTGATCGTATCTGGACCAGTAGCGCCAGTCTTTGTGAGACAAAATACTTATCTCATTAGCAATTACATAAACTCAGAGTTTTGTTCGTTGTTAAATTGTAATTTTGTTTATGTCACTTAAAAGATGCCTGTTTTGTTTGTTTCAGAGATCTCACCTTATGTGTTTTCAGCTTTTGCCCCATGATTACTAGCTCAGTCTTATGAGTTGACGTTCAGGACAAGACTGAGGCCAATATGTTGTCCTGCTAAGGAATTAAGTGTGTGTGTGTACATGTGCCCATATCCGGCCAGGGCTTGATTAGCGCAGGAGGGCATAGCATTGATGTCCAGCTGCTTTCTCCACAAGTGTGCCATCATGCACAGCAAGACCTCCAGTGAATGATCCACCACTAAGAGTAAAACACTGCTAAGAAATTAATAGGACGTATGGCATGCTGCTATTCAAGTCCCCAAGCAAACACTGATAGACATGTAGTAAAACACACTGGTGCAGGAGTGGAATGTATCAACTTCTTTTTGTAATTGGAGCATTTTACTGTGACTGCTCTTTCAATGCTTTTTATCCTTTTTTTTCCTTCAGTCACCCCTGATCTGTTCCCGGAAACAACCCTTGTGCCGTCCTTACCAGCAGTACCATCGGCACGAGCCGGCTCTGCACCTCAGAAGCCCCGGAGGCGCAGCAGCAGCGGACGTGACAGCGTTGCCAGGCCTCAGACGTTGCCCTCAGCCTGTCGGCCAGGCCCCAAAAGAGGCAGCATGGAGGTAGGCATGCGTGTTGTGCGCGGCCTGGACTGGAAATGGGGAAACCAAGATGATGGTGAGGGCCATGTGGGTACTGTGGTGGAGATCGGGCGTCAGGGCAGCACTACAACTCCAGACAAGACGGTGGTGGTGCAGTGGGACAGCGGCACGAGAACCAACTACCGTACTGGCTACCAGGGTGCCTATGACCTGCTGCTTTATGATAACGCTCAGATTGGTAAGCGATTACATTAGAGTCATATGAAACTGCTGTGAAAGTTTTGAGTCATGGCACCAGTGTGATTGTAGTTTTGTTATTATACCAAACGATACTATGCTATTGTATTGTTTTCAGTCCTTTCAGTAATTCATAGTTAAAATGGTTATTTCTGCTTTTTCCAGCTTAGGAAAATGCTAGAAGCTTTGATGTTCAAGAGCGCCTTCAAAATAAGATGTTGCCTTTGGTTAGATTACTTTCCAAGCTTTTAATAGGTTCAAATTTGTGTAGGTAGTTATTGTTTGCTACGAATTATAGTGTTATTATAATCCTAATACTTCTTTTAAATTAAAAAAAAAACATTTGATCAGGATTTGTTTTATAATTATGTAAATGCTTGAACTCGATCTTATCCTGATAATTCAGCATTTTTAAAGCCAAGCACTAGCTTGAAAGGCTCTGATAAAAAGTGAAAAATGTATCCATGTAGTTGATCCATGTAGTATTTTTTTATTTTTATTTTTATTTTTTTACACACATTCTCTTTACACACATTGTATTTTTGTGAACGTAGCCTTTACTTGGCCCATTTAAAGAAAGCGGGGTACAGTAAGTCATCTCTTATCTTCAGCCATCAGCCATCCAGCTCAGTTTTGAACTTGAATGACACACACATTAATGCAGGACTCATTAGCATTTTTGCTCCATTTCAAGCAACATTTTTCTGCCTCACAAAACTTGCCCTTCAATTAATGGAGCGAAAGAAGAGGAGGAGAAGAGATGAGGAGCCAAGGGGGTGGGGGGCCTGAGGCACATGCTGTTTGTGCCTCAGTTTTTGCACATCTCATGATGTTACCCTCTGCAATAAGTAACATCATCAAGGATGTGACGTATGCCTTAAACGTTTCACTGACTTAGACACGGGGGAATGAATGGTAGTGTCCTCTTTGCTGTGAAGGTTATGACATGTTCTGTCAAAACATATGTTTCTTTGTAACAAAAATACAAAAAGAAACATCAAGCCTGTTGTGCCCACTCAACATCTCACTTTCCACTCCAGGGGTGCGTCATTCCAATATCATCTGTGACAGCTGCAAGAAGCATGGAATCATGGGAATGCGATGGAAGTGCAAGGTGTGCTTCGATTACGACCTGTGCACCCAGTGTTACATGAACAACAAGCATGACCTGAGCCACGCTTTCGAGCGTTACGAGACAGCACACTCCCAGCCGTGAGTACAACTCTGCTCGCTCTCCAGCACAGCTGATCCTTATTTAATTCTAATGATGGTGTCTTTGCTACTTTGCTGTTTTCAAATTGTGTTGGCCTCATAATGGCTTCCTCAAATCTTAATCTTAATCTGGAATTCATACATTCCTGTAGGTCTGGTTGGAGTCTTCTGAACAACATCATGCGGCCACTATTGCTTGTGATTGTGATGTTGTACCTCAGCGTTATTGTTATTGTTATTGTTTGGACTTTGGCTGCGGCTGTAGTTAGTCTACAGTGCTATGTGTTAAGATGTTAGTATTTGAGGGTGACACAACCATTAAAAAATGGATGTGTCACAGCCACAATTCTAATGACCTCAGCAGAGCATGGCTGGTCCCGCACGAACTCTAATGAATGTCATCACAAGACACCTGTGGTATAAAAGTGGGCATCGTGCAAACTGCACGCCTCCTTGCTGGGGATAAATGTTTAGTGAGCTGATTCCAAGTGTCCTACGTATCCAGATTTACTGGAGTGAGTTCTCCCTTCAGAATTCACTCTTCTGCATCAGTTCACAGTAGAGCTCCAAACTGCTCCAGGCACTGTCTGAATGTCAGCTGGATGGCCTGTTCTCATTTTAACGAGGTGATATGTATGACCCAGATTTCTTCTATAGTTTAGTCCCGTCCAGGTCCAACACAGTTCCATTTATTTCCTCTGAGTCTGTTGCCCGAAAAATGCTCAGAATAGGTGCATGAATCATGGCTTCTTACAAATGGCTTCCTCTCAAAAGTTGGGTTTTTTTTGGGGGGGTTTTTTGGCCCAAGAATTTGGTAATCTTGTTTTCTATTAAAACCCTTTAAAAATAAAAATAAAAAAATTAAGTCTCACAATCAGCACATTATTTTAAAATGGGATGAGCAGATGCATTCTTACACCCTTGCTTATGAATGTGCAGCTTGATTTTTCCTGCATTTTTCCTGTTTTAATTAATTAAATATGAGACGTATTGTTAATAAAGTGGAATTTTAGATTTTGGTCAGGTCTGTACTCGTCTGCTATGGATAGGTGGTATGGTACCGGAGCAGCACATCAATTGCACATCTGAGTGAAATCTGGCCTTTGCAGTAATCATTTAGCATTCTGACACCAGCTGGAATCTCATTTCTTTTCCTTCCTCAGTTTCTCCCCAAAACTATTGATTTTCATTAAGGTCAAAATTTTGTTTGGCTCAGCTGTGAACAGCATTGAGATAACAGAATAAAAACCTTTCTGTGAACCTCCATGTGGGTTAAAACATCAGCGCCTTCCTTTTGTCAGTACTGGGCAAGTAAATACTAATACTCACTGACAGTTCATTTTTTTATTTCATTGAGTTGGGGATTTCTTTAGACACATTAACAAAGATAATGATTTTAGGAAATATATAGTAGTGATATATTTCAAGTAGCAACCTGCCTTTGTTATTGAAATCTACCAAACAGGCATTGCTGCAATCTCATACAGCAGGGGTGTCAAACTCAAATACACAGTGGGCCAAAATTCAAAAATGGAACAAAGTCGCGGTCTAATGTTAATATTTATTGAAATATATTTATTCCTCCAGATATAAGAATGAATCTTTTCTTATGGACTAAAACACGTTTTGCTGAAAAACTGAATATGGAACAAGCAAAGCTTAATACTAATCAATATATATATTAGCTGTATAATACCAGTAGGCCAGCTCTAATAGTAATTTGGTATGGCTTCGCGGGCCAAATGTAATTAGGCTGCGGGCCAAATTTGGCCCGTGGGCCAGAGTTTGACACCTATGTCATACAGGGTGCATAACATCAAAGTGAGACAAGGCTAAACTTAGAAAGCCGAAAATAAGACTGTACTTTATTGAGATGAGAAACACCTTTAAATTGTTTGAGCTAGTAAATGTAAGTAGCATTTGCGATTCGTCAACCTAAATGTTACAGTTTTGCATTGTTGTTAGTTACTATTTATAGTGTAGAAACCTTTTATGTGTGGGTTCTTTGAGATCATGGCACATTACGTAGATGCTAATTTAAAGCGGTGTAGAAGAATAGAAATACAGAATCTTAAAATACAGAGATTTCAAAGACTAAAATAGGATGTTGTGGGATTAATATCTCCATTTGAAAGATGTTTGAAATGGCCTTTCATAAATACTAGGCTCTATAATATGAATGAGATTTAGAAATTGTAGCTCTTTTCTGCAACCTTTTTGAATGGAGTGATAAGACAATGAGCCTCTCTCAATTCTGGCTCTCAGGGAGATGACTTTTAAAGAATCAAAAATACAAATGGTATATTGATGCCTATCAGAGTCAGCCAACCTTATCCTGTCACGATGTGGATGAAATCTCCAAGAGGTCGAAGCTCTTTGTCTTTTGAGTGGTTCGGTGTTTATCATTGACGGCTCTCACAGCGAGTGAGTGCACAATGTTCCACGTGTTGTTCTCGATGGCGGTGAACTTCAGTGTGACTCAACATATTTTCAGTTGTTTGACTACAAGATATATTTATGTTGCCCCAATAAATATTCCAGTCATTCCTTTAACTTCTGAAAACTATGTACTGGCTTATAATTATGCCCCGCCCCCTTAAAGTGAAATTTTAGCTTTTAGAAAACAAATTTTGAGATGTTATTGTTTGTTATTCAGTTGTGTTTTTCACAGTGGTGATAAATTGGGTTGGATTTTCACCTGCAGCATTAATCTTTGTTTAGAGGATGGTTTAGAACAGGGGTGCGGGAACTCCAGGCCTCAAGGGCCGGTGTCCTGCAGGTTTTAGATGTGTCCTTGGTCCAACACAGCTGATTTCAATGGCTAAATTACTTCCTCAACATGTCTTGAAGTTCTCCAGATGCCTGGTATTGAACTTATCATTTGATCCAGGTGTGTTTACCCAGGGTGATGTATAAAACCTGCAGGACACCAGCCCTTGAGGCCTGGAGTTGCCCACCCCTGGTTTAAAAGAATGAAGAGTGTGTAAAGGTTCTTTATGTAATTTTTATGCTGTTGGCAAGATCTCAAATACAAGTATTTGAAGTTAGAAATAACTTTTGTTTATGTATGTCAGAAGCATTTTTCTAGAGGAGTCTTTTTGGTCAGTGCAAACTTACTCATAATGTCAGCACACAGCCAGTGTAGTGAATGCAAATTATACAAGACAACCAAGATCATTTAATCATTTGATATAAGTAACAGTTTTTCTCTCATATCATTATAATGCTATGTATTTATATCTTGGAGTCTTATCAAAGGGAGATTTGTATAATCGGAGGAAAAATGAAATTGCAATTGTTGTCTCTCACTGATACAGATTTGGAAGATCATCACATGAAAGTCACTTCTTTTCTCATCCAATGAATGAAGTAGAAGAGCAGCCGACAATATGTGATGCCAGACACACAGCACTTCTTTATTTCCGGACCACACTGACCCATATTTCACTGACAGCATTTCAAAAGATGAATTTATAATCTGGCAGTCATGGGACACACTGATATTTGCCTGGAAGGACAAATTTAACTTGCCTTCATAATGTTTGTGACTTCATGCAGTGCCAGCTGTGATTTATGTTAGGAAGCTCAAGTTGGGGCTCGGGCTAGTTAAGAGGGACTCCTTTCATGTGGGTCAAACATGTGCAAGGCTTTAAATGCAACTTAAGCAAGCTTGATCTATTTGTAGTTTACTGTCATACCGTTGGCAGAAACCTTATCGGCGGCCTGAGGGGACAATCGGTGGTCAGCGTAATAAACGGCTGCAGAATGCTGACAATATAATAGCGGCGTCACAAACGTGGTGTGAGAGCTGAGCCGGATGTACTGTACATGAGTGTTCCATTGTAATTACACAGATTTAGCTGGATTAGCATGGTTACCATTCTCAGCTGTGAGGATTAGCATGTTAACATTTTCAACTTCCTTGAAGACATGTTTTAACAGGTCTCAGATGTGGAGCGAGTCAGGGCGAAGTTTTATGCTCACAAGCCTTGAAGCCTGGTCGTTATTAGCCTCTGGCTGTTGTTTTGGAATAATTTTGCAATGTACCGAATGCGCTGAAAAGCCTGCCGAGTCCTGCATTTAGTTAAGATTCATATGTTACATGGTACAAAGAGGCATGTGTTTACATGCTCACAGCAGCATATGTGCGTGCCATATGTTTACGAGGAGATGGTCGGTATGCAGCTGGTTAATCGGCTCTCCCAACGCAAGCACCACACATGCGAACCTATTGGGTCAAATCAGTGCCTAATCCTTCACCGCCCCACCTGACTTCTCAGTTTTCTGCTGTGTGTTCATGTTTAAGCTACAACCAAACTATCCTCATTATTGTCCTGCAGGGATTTCTGCTGCTTTCCCTCTTCCAGACAGAACTGAATAGAGTTGTAGCTCTGGTGGAAAAATAGCTGTCTCTCCTTCTCATTTTTTTGTTAGGGATCTAAGCACTATGTGTAATGATTTTTTTTTTCTTTCCAGTCTTATCAAAATAGCGTTTAAAACGCTCCTTAAATGTGTTAAGATTAGTACGTTACTAGGTGAAGTATGGATTAAAACAAGTATCGTACTAGATAATGACAAAACATGTTATTTCTAAAGATATCACCAATAAGTCTGGAACCTAATGCTGTTTTTACAGTTGTAAAGGGGCAACTCACACATTAAAGGCTCTAAATGCAAACAAGACAGACATTTTAAACTTGCTTTGAGGTACAAGCTCTGAATGCATTTGCATGACCCACTCCTGGTATTTTCACATACACGTAGTTTAGCTTTGTCTTTCTGACAGATGTGACTTCTCTTTGCTTGGTAGATCCTTGTGTGTATTACACTGCTTTAATACCAAAGGCTATTGCTTGGATGACTGTTGATCCAGCTTTTGTGTCAGTAGGTTTAGGTCTCTTGCCCTGATCCTCATCTTGTCTGTGAGCAGCGCTGACATTTGGTCAAGCTGGATTAGAAATCTTGATCCCTTGAAAGAGAAGCTGTACTGAAAAAACAAACATGTGAAACACTGAGGTCGTGTGTTTCACTGTCCATGAAAACGGGGACATCTGTCAGTTTATATCTTCTCTGCTCTCAAAAAACCATGGGTCATGTTTTCATAATAGGTTTGTTTGTCTTAATGAGCTGACTTATTGTTGTCATAAGTAGAGGTGCTCATGATACTTAAGTCTGTCCAGTCTTTCTAAACTAAATCTGAATGGTGCCATCAGGAAATGGGCATTTGTTATTAGCAGCTTCATGGTTTGAAGCTGTATATGCATGTGCATAACTATCTAGATGCACATAGTACTGGATGCTAGCATGTGCACTGTCTATGATTTGCCCTGTGGTGCCCTGCTTTCTGATAGCTCTGCTGTCTAGGATTAGGCTGAAAGCTCTGTGCTCAGATACACATCATTCTCGGCACAGACCTGTGTAAGCTCAGACCACACTCACTGTTGGTTAGCTTTAAGAGGAAAATGCACTGCTATTTTCTGCTGTGGCACATATGGGATCCTGAAAATCTGGCTAGCGATGGGGGTGAAGTTAGTCAAGCCTAACTTTGCGCGAAACCCCAGCACGAGAGTCTCTATGAGACTCCCTGAGGATGACGGCTCTCACAAGGCTCTTTTTTTCTTTTCAACACACTGGATTTAATATGATTTGGAGTTTATCCCATTAGCTGTTTGCTTGGAAAGGAAGCTGGGCTTGGATCTCGTCGAGAAGTATGGGAATAGGCAGCTCTTTTGCACCAAGATCTGATCAAATTTTTACCATAAAGTATGTTTGATTTTGAAGATACGGATGTGTGTGTGTGTGTGTGTGTGTGTGTGTTATTATTAAGCATAGCTACTCACAGTCCTTGAATTCCTTTTACAAAATGGCCTTTGCTAAGTAAGATATCATTTCTCAGAACAGACAGCCTTGAGTAGCATTTGTTTGATATGTCAGGCAGATGTGTTCTTTACTGTTACTGTACTGTACTGTTACTCTTGTGTAACTTCAAATGTTTTCTTGTCACGAGTAAATGTATTGGCTGCAAGTGTTAAATTTTTTTCTTACTTGCCTTGCCACTAATTCCAAACTCTTACAAATATGTAAGAGAGTTAATTTTTAATTTTTAGAACTTCTAATGTGCATATTTGGAGAAGGTTTTGGGGTTGCTTAGTACCCTTCAGCATTTTCTATGATTGTTTGTTCAGCTGCGTCTTCATGCTCTTGTCACAGGGTGAGCCTGGCACCGAGGCAGAACCTCCCACGAATCATCCTCAAAGGAATCTTCCAGGGGGTTAAAGTGGTTCGTGGACCAGACTGGGACTGGGGCAACCAAGATGGTGAGTGATGTGTGGGCTAATGATACCAATAACCTGGCAACTCAGCAAACTCTGTGCATGCTTGAGTGTGGAAATGTTCCTCTTCAAAGTGTTTTACCATCAACAGCCCATAATAACATTGTAACCTCACAACTCATTAACCTGTAAGATGTTGTGTTAGCATGTGTCTGTGTGTACTTATTTTGCGGGTGACTCATATAAGTCTGTCTCACAGATGTGCCTGACTGTTTGCGTCTCTGAGAGTCCCAGTTGAGTCCTCGTTGTTTGAATGTTTGCCTTTTCTTTTCCATCATTGTGTAGTGGCATAAACTGAGAAAGACCCTGCACCTGAAGTCTGTGGTCATAGTTTATCTAAACTAATCTTTTTTATCTAAAGTAGAGAGTTAAGAATATATGAGACATTGAATTGTGTTTTATTGCCTCCACGAATGGCTGAAGTTTAACTCTGTCATATACTGTATACTGACTTCGCTGTTGCATGTTCTTTTTTTTTTTCAGATCCAAACAGCCTACGCTGGCTGATATTTAGTTAAAATCTTAATTCAAAGTAATCTTCCACATCGATGGGCTAAATTCAAGTCTGTAAACGTTCCCTTTAAAGAAATGGAGAATGGCAACGTGTCCTTAGACTTCTTTTTTTTTTTTTTGGTCCAGGGTTGTGAGAATAGCAACGCTCCCTTTTCTTTCTAAGGAGAATGAGTCAAAATGTCCTTTTGGTGCCTTTGAAATCAGTGCCCTGGGGTTCGGTTAAGTCACTCATCAGGCCTAAATGGTGTATGCTCTAAGTGCATAAAAGACACACTGAGCATGCTCAGTGTCTTCCCAGCCTACCGTGTTGTCTTACAGGTCACTGGTTTAGTTGGTGTGTTTAGGCGCTGAAGCAGCTTGATGACTTAAATGGCATAGCAAGGATTTATTTACATCATACAGCTGGATGTATGGATCTGAAATTATCCTGTGACACAACACGTGCATTAATAATGTGGTTTGTGTTTATTGTTTGATTATTTGGTCCTTTGGTTTCACTCAAATCAAAAAGAGGAAATTGTCAGGTGTTTGACGGTGATTGTAGAAAATCATAATGAATGTCTGTGATACTTGGCAGCCCCTACAATGAAATGTTTGTCTCTCACCTTGTTTGCACTCATGTTTATTTATTTATTTTTTGATCATTGCATCACACCACGGTCGTCTAACTAACCACCTTTACTTCTTTTATTGAGCTTGTTTTCTTTTCACTGCATTTGTTTCCCATTTTCCCATAAACTGATGCACTGGTGTTTCTTGCATTATATCTGTGTTTGTTTCTGCACTTTTGTGTGTGTGTGTGTGTGTGTGTAGGTGGGGAGGGTAAGGTTGGGAAGGTAGTGGACATTCGTGGCTGGGACAACGAGTCTGGTCGCAGCGTGGCCAGTGTCACCTGGTCTAATGGCACCACTAATGTTTACCGAATGGGCCACAAGGGCAAGGTAGACCTGAAATATGTGACAGATGGCCAGGGAGGCTTCTATTACAAAGATCACCTACCAAAACTTGGTAAGACAGACTTTCTTTATTCAAGTATGCATTCCTTAGAAAGTTTAAAGTTATTTAGTGGCTCAGAAACTTGATTTAACTTGATGTAAACAACTTATGTCTTGTATGTCGTATATCAGTGCTTATCAGTACTTCTGTGTGGCATTGTAATACTGTAACACTGAGAAACTGATTACATACTGGCTTTAAACCCAAGCTATTTTTATCATTAGCTTAGGAAAAAAAATTCGAGTCTGTTTCTGTTTGTTGACGCTGACACCTGTTCATCCAGGAGAGCATGCAGAGCTGCAGCGTCAGGAGAGTGCAGACGGCCATTCTTTCCAGCAGGGTGACAAGGTCAAATGTCTGTTGGAGGTAGACATCCTACGGCAGATGCAGGAGGGCCACGGAGGGTGGAACCCCAAAATGGCAGAGGTACAAATGCCTTCCGCTAGAAAAAGTAAAAACATAATACCGGTTGACTATAGGCAGCTTTAAATAACTCCCTATTGAGTTCTAATACAATACAGACGTACACAGTGCTCTTCCTTGGGTTTTTCCAGCAGGTTTCCATTGTAACCATATGAACTGCTTCATGTTTTACACAAACATGTCCTCAAATGCACGTGGCTCTAGAACACAGCATACAGAAGATTTATATAAGTGGCTCAGATGGAGGTTGCTACAGAGGAGAAAGAAATGGAGCATCCAACTCTCATATCACAGCTGCTAAAAGGGACATTAAGGTCACAGCCATGTAGAGGAAGACCCAGGGTTAAATAGCATATTTGTGTTTGCAGTACATTTGCCGGATTGGGACGGTTCACAGAATCACTGACCGAGGAGATGTCAGAGTCCAGTACAGCAACAATATCCGCTGGACTTTCCATCCTGGGGCACTCACCAAGGTACTGCGTTACTTATTTTGTTATTTTAATATCACAGTTTATTACAGCTAAATTACTTTGTTTAGACTTCGGCTGCTTTTTTTCCCCCTTAGGTGAACACGTTTGGAGTTGGGGAATTAGTGAGAGTATTGGAGGACATGGAGAGCGTGAAGAGACTGCAGGCTGGCCATGGAGAATGGACAGACAGCATGACTCCTGTATGCTCATTTTACCTGATAGTATTCGTAGCCTCCTAATGCTAACTTACTGTGGTTTTTCAGAATTGGATTGAAAATCCTCACCTTGTGTGCAGAAGTGAAGACTTGAGTCACATAAATTGGTGAAGTAATGATCGCTTTGAAGAATGACTTTGACTTGAACCCAGTGTTTCATAACTTAGTCCAGCAACCCAGCTAATCTGTTGATTTACCCTCCGGGGGCAACAGCCAGTTTTCCATGGCTTCCGCTGTAGCCAGCGAATATCCTAGTCAGGATTTATGTGTCAGTTTGCTGTGTATTGTTTACTAATACAGATACGTTGGAACATGGCATCATTTTAGATGTTAATTAATGCTTTTCCGATGCATTTTGGCAAATGCCAGTGCCCTTTTACTCCATTCTCTATACTCCGGGTTTCAGGTTTCTCCCTGTTTATGTGCACAATGTTTACTGTGCTACTTGCAAAAGCAAAGGATCCAGTTTTTTAACGTCATCACATTACGACTGACCTACTTCATGAAAATTAGGTTGTACATGGGTGTTTAGTAAGGATCATTTATTTGTCCTTGTCAATTCTTTCTCACCTATTCATTGTGTTATTCTCATAGGTGCTGGGCCAGGTCGGCAAGGTGTTAAAAGTATATGCAGATGGTGACCTACGGGTAGCATTTGGAGGCCAGACATGGACATTTAACCCAGCGTGCCTCTCAGCCCAACCCGTGGAGGTGGATGCCAACCTCATGACGGCCGAGAACCCCAACGAATCTGGAAGTAAGGCCTCTGCCGGGAAGAGGGGGCTCATCTCTAACACGCGAGCTCCAGCTTTATCTCCTACAGGCTTTCAGTTATCTCCCTACTCTTCCTCATTTCAGCTTTGCTACGCATCCTTTCTCATCCATGCGGCATCAGTGGCATCAAGTTTGTTTGTTTTTTTTCAGCAGTGTGTAAAGTATGCTTCTTTCTGAAATTTTCTCTGTAGCATCTCCTGATCCTGCACTTTGACAGCAGGTGGACACGTTTGTCATCATGTCACAAGTTCTCAGCAGTCTCTTAATCATGACAAAATCTTCTCTGTTTATGTGTTCAGTTCAGATTATGGGAGGCTAACAACAGACTGATGTGTGTTTGTGAATGTGTGTGGTCAGATTCCAGTGCATGCTGGGACATTTTGACTCATTCTAGCATTCGTTAACCAGTTCGAATGGCTTTTTTTTTTTTTTTTTGCACGGCTTGTGCGACATTAGAATTGAAGTGGAAAAAACTAATGTAATTCTTTTGTCCTCTGTTCCCTTTTCACATCCTACCCCTACACCTCCTCTTCTCCCTCTCTTTCTGACTCTGTCTCTGTTCAGGTACTGTCATCTCAGTGCTGGAGAAGCTGCTCTCTCAGTCCACAGAGCAAGACAATCCCAGTCGGCTAGTGATTGAGGCAGCGCATGGCAGTGCCAGCAAGGTGCGGGAGCTGGTGCAGAAGTATCCTGACAAGGTTAGTGCAGCACTCCTTCTCTTTGCTGCAGTCCACTGTCTGTTCCAAGAGCTCTTTACATCAGGGCTCCAGGCCTTGGGTTGAAGTCTGATTGACTTATTGAGCCAGATACAGCAATATTATAGGCTGACATTTTCCAGTCTGTCAGTGCTATTATGTAAAAATGCAACTCAAACTCAACTATAGGACTCACTTGTTAACAGATTTACAAGGTTTCCCCTCCACCCTCACCCACTGACACAGGCAGTGGAAACACTGTTCAATAATTTATTTCTGTAACCCCAAAGCATGACATATGTATCTTCAGGTCACACACAAGAGGGCTGAGACCTTACATTATTATAGAGAAAACCAACAATTCCCCCATGGTTTGGAGGAAAAATCTCCAACACAACCAGATGGGCTACCTTAGCCAAAGAATCAAATAATTTCAGGCATTATTTGCATGTTTGAATGACAGAGCGTAAAACTGGTTTTGAAAGTCAGAGGTAGAAAAGCAAAGGACAGATCAGTGATTGATCCAGGCATGCTGTATATAGAATATATTTTCTTTATGAAGGTATTTGTAACAGTGCTTAAGTCACTCCTAACTGATTACAGGTGAAGAATGAGGCATAATCTAAAAGCTGTCAAACAATATGGGTAAAAAAAAAAAAGCAATAAGTGATCAGTTGTTTAAAAGTAGAATAAAATGTTGGCATCATTTTTCACCCTTTGATCATTGCCTGTGTTCTAGTGAGGTTCTAGACTTGCTGTGCATCACTGTGTGCAGTTTGTCTTCATCATGAACCAGATTTTCTCAGCATCTGTCAAACCTGAGATTCATTGTTTACACTGTCTTTTGCAATTTTCAAGTTTTCCTGTTCACATGTGTTTTTTTTTTTTTTTTAGAAAATACCCAACTGGTCATTTTGGGAAACCCAGCTGCTATAGATAGACCTCAGATAGGCTGTGGGTTTTACAACCTCATTATCGTATTGAGTTTTTTCTCTAAATGGCATCCCTCAAACACCTCTGAGTCACATGTGGCTCCTTTTGTGCATCAGTGACACACCGAAGTGTCGAAATACTTTTGAAACTTTGCAGTTTGGCCACTGTGTGTTAGTGTAGCTGTGTCGCACTCACTTTTCATTCAGTGTTGATCTAGACTACTTAAATTGATGTTTGAAATTTCCTAAGATGTTTTTCTTTTGTTCAAGAAAAAAGGAAAAAAAAAGTCACACTGTGAAGTCGGAGTAAATATTTATCTCTGCATTCAGCTCTGCTGTGACGACACTACTTATTTGGATTATGTGTTCAAGTGTATGACGAGTGTGGTTGTTATTCATGTGCAGATTATTTCCAACCACTCTGTGTTGAGCTCAGTTATTGTCCAGACTAGCATCAGCTCTGATGAATCTGCAACGATGTGTGTGCCCATGGCAGGTGGATATCAAGAACCAAGGCAAGACTGCGCTGCAGGTTGCTGCTCACCAAGGCCACATGGAGGTGGTGAAGGCCCTGCTGCAGGCAAACAGCTCAGTTGAGGTCAAAGATGAAGATGGAGACACGGCATTGCACTACACTGCTTTTGGGTAAGGACACACACACACATAAATATATATATAGAGACAATTTGCCAAATACAAACAAGAAAAGACTAGCATATTGCAAGTCCAAAACAGGAGCTTGTGACTGACAGATAAATGACTTGAGCTCAAGCTAATCCCTTTCCTTGTAATGTGATCACCTGTTCACAGAAGTGACTGCCTTGAACTGTTGCATAATAACCATAATAAGGCACCCAGTTAACGTCCTGCGTTAATGTGATCAGGAAAGATTTCATATAATCCAAATTTTAAAAAAGTCAGATGGGATATTTGTGTGTCGTGGTAAGAAACTCTTGGGCTTTTTGAAGATGCAAGTAGCTTTTTCTTTTTCTTTTCATTTGTTGTCTCCTAGTTTTGAATTAATATAGTTTACAGAAATGTGAACAATCAAGTGCGGGTTAATTTGTGTCTGTTTTGGTCCAGTAATCAGGCGGAGATCGCGCGGCTGCTGTTGAGTAAGGGGGCAAATGTCAACCTCCTGAACAACTCCATGTGCACGGCGCTCCACATCGCCGTCAACAAGGGCTTCACTGACGTGGTGCGGGTGCTAACTGAACATTCTGCTGATGTCAATCTCCAGGTGAGAGGTGGCTGTGTGCTCAGTCCTGACCCCAGCCATAAATAAAAATGATCCAACATGTTAGTTTTTTTTATGCTTGATCGTTTTTCCAGTGTTGCTTTTTACTCCTTATCTTTTATTTGAACTAAATTAACTCAACTATTTGACTCACTCTGGTGCAGTTACTGGTTAGGAGTGAATGAGCTTATTATTAATTATCAAACTAGTCAGTTTAGGGGGGTGGAGAGAGACCCTTGAGTAAGTGTTTAGATAGCCAGTAAGTAATCTTCTCTGGCTTTCAGTCATACTGCCCATAGGGGATTTTTCACATGGTCTAACACGCCTGCAACCAGGCCAACAATTTCCTAATTTATTTTTTTCTGCTTCAATGGTGTGGCTACTCAGCTAAAAATATGCCAGCCCAGAGTTTTTTCAGCGTTTCCATGTGATAAATGTGCGCGTGATCTGAGCGTACATCTGCTTTTTTTGACCATTTCATAAAGGTGGGGAAGGATATAGGCAATCGGGAACTTTTGCCTCCCTGGATCAACAAATTGTAGTGAACAGAAATCATGTTCAGTCGACAGATCACCGGAATATTTTGTATAGAAGATGTTTAATAGACCATGTCAGTGTTATTTTCTAAAGTCTCAAGAAAATATTTAAAAACCTGAATTTGAAAAGCTAGTTTGACCCTGTTTGCTTCCTGTCTTTAACAGGATTCATACGGGGACACGCCGCTCCACGACGCCATTGCTAAAGATTTCCGCAATATCATTGAGATCCTGTCCGTGGTGCCCAACATTGATTTCACCCAGCAGAACCACAGAGGCTTCAACCTGCTGCACCATGCTGCCCTCAAAGGAAACAAACTGTGAGTGGGGATGACGTAATCATATCTGCATGCGCAGTCACATGTCATACACAGAAGTGAAATTAGGAAATATCCCCAAAACTTGTTGGAAAAGATTTTTTGACTTTAAATGTTTTTTTAGGCACTTGAGGCATTTTCTTGAGGTCTAACATGCAATTGGGGTTTCTAGGGGTTACCATTTAGTGTCATTAGAGGATTTTAGGACTTTTGAAAAGATTTTGCCTTGTAGTCTTGCAGTTGTCATTTTGAGATTAAGAAGTATTGGGCATGTGCCTTAAAATATCACAAAATTGAATGTGCCAAAGCAATAAAAGACTATTATTGACTATTGTTACTGGCAGGAGTTGGGGTAGTTTCTTTAGGAAGAAAATCATAGTGGGTTTCATGTGCCAATCGTTGCTGAATTTCTTGCAGTAGTCACTGGCATCAGTGGTTCTGCTTTGGGCTGAGCAAATTAATGATACTATACTATGTTTCAGAATTTGGGAAACTGGTTCTGGATTAAACCTCGCACCACGTTGATGAAAAATCAATCAAAAGCTTTGGTTTCCCCAAATCTAGCTTTATGTATACCAAACAAATTCAGCTGCAAAGTAAAAGACCTTTAGCGTCATTCAGCTTTCAGTCTTTGCTCAGTTTTTCACCGTGTATTGTTAGTTTAAACGCATGTATCTGTGAGCGTTGGAAGTGTGCGTGTATAGGCTTGTGTGCTTATGTGTGGGACTCTTCTGTGGGTTCAAATAAGGATTCAAAGGTCGGCTCTCTCAGCGCTATCTGTTACAGATAGATCTCATCTCCCACACAGCTTCTGCTGCTGTCAGCAGGCTGACTGTCAATATGAGGCAAAAATGCAACAACATTTACTTTTGCGTCACTTCTTTCTGTACACACTCAGTTGTTTTTATTTCTCTTTTCCCTGGACTGTATGCAGTCTAGTCATTTCTCAGCAATGCAGTTTTGAGATTCATGAGTGTGTAAAAATTCCCAAAATCCAAACAAAAGCTAAACAATGAGCCAGACATGTTTTCCCAGGAAAGACTTTATTAACACAGCAAAGCTGTCACGATTCGGCTGTAGACTTTGTCACTGCTGTGTAACACTGTTTTAGAGGCACAGAGAGAAGATACTGTACACTGTGTTACATAAACTTCACTTTGCAACGCTGTCGAAATTCAAGCCCATTCTGAAAGCGGCTCTGCACCAACACAGACACTGTCCGGATGGGAAAGAGGTACAATTGACACCGTTCGGAAGCTGGAAAAGGATCAGCTCAGCCATTTTACTCAACACTGAAGTGCTTAAGGCCAGCCTTCAAAGTTGCCTCAGTGGTACGTGCCACAAAGGCTCCATTATTTTCTGTCTGTTGGTTTGAGGCTGATCAACACTGGAGGTTCTTAATCTTAAGCTGAGTCTTGACACAGAAATGCAGTTGATAACTGAGTTTTCTCACAATGATAGGGTTTCATATAAATGTTCCCTGGATTTTTGTTGGTGTGCCGGTATCTCCCCCTGTTCTCCACACCTCCAGGAACATGTAAAGGTAGAGGGAAAAGTCAACAATCATCGTTCTTCTCAGTAATGCGTTGCCTGTTGCTTAATGCGGTCTGTGGTGTGATTTTTTTTTTTTCTTCATTAATTTCCGGAGTATTAACAATATATTGCTTGAAATGATTGAGTGCAGTTCTATATGTATAAATCTGTATTTTCTTTAGGTGGAAATTGGATTATTTTGATAAGGTAAAGAAATATTGCATTAAAGATTCAAGTGACTTTTAAAAGGTTGCTGTTTCCCTAAATGCAACAAATCTGACTGAACATTTGCTTTGAGGCCTTAACAACCTTTTGGGAATTTTCCATTACAAATAGCACAAATTTGTCATGGAAGATTTTCCCTGGCTTTTTAAGGGGTGGGTCAATAAGGCAATAAGGCAAGTAGTTAAAAATACCAGAATCACCGTAAATTCCCCCTGAAGCAATTCATTCATTCAAGGCTTTAGTTCAAGACTTTAAAAGTGTATCCTATATCTGAAGTCCATGAATCTGTATGGTCAGTAAAGAACAAATGCATTACTATAGCTTACTATAGTCCGCTGGCTGTTTTTCCTGAAGACTCTCCTCTATTTATTTATTGCTATAAATTTACTTAAAAAATGCTGCAAGTTAATGAGGCTTTCTCCTCAAAAAAGGCTTTAAAGCCTCAAATTCTGACTTCCTCCCAGTGACCCACATATCCTCAGCACTCCCACAGCCAGGCTCCTCCTACGTGTCTTATAATCTACTGACCTTGAAAAATAGTATCTCAGGACATCCCTGCACATGAGCGGTGTGTGGACAAATGTGGACTGAGCGGGGAAAAGACTTTTGGCAAGCAACACCTGCAAGTGGAGGCCGCAGTAGACAGTCATTTAATAAATGTCCGATCTGTTCTGGCAAGTGTCATATGTGCACCTCTGGGAATTTAGGCTGCTCTCCCCAGCATTCATTTAGCCTGACATCAGCTGCTGCACCAAAAACAGAGACACAGGATTTACAGTGTTCAGGATCAACTCGGTTCACCAGGTCCTTCATTTATCATCAGCAGGCCTACACTATACTAATGCAGGACAGTGACTGTCTACTTTTTGTGTTTCTATATTGTCCAATACACATAGCAGACTAAAACTGCTTCTTTTGTTTCCCTCATTGTCTGTTTTCAGTCCATTTGTCCATTAGGATATTTCCACTGCTTAATTGATGGCTGCTTTACTATCCTGAGGACTGCGTTCTCAAGAGCAGCTGTGACCTTCTTTTTTTTGTGACCAAAAGACAAGAATGTTCTGTTTATTAGAATATTTATTTATTATAAGGAAATGGAAAAATAGGGGCTTGAGGCCAAGTTCACAAACATTCCTGGGAAAGAAAAGAAACAAGGCTTGTTGCCAGATTTCCTTTTAGAGGTTTCAGCTCGATAGGAGATGCTAACTGTATTTACTTGAAAATGAAAACTGCTTGGCTGGATTTCACCTCAACATAGCTTTATTGTTTTCTCCTCACTTTCACCATGTCTGCAGCAAGTTTTTTTCCCCTTTTTCTTCAAACCCTTGTCTTCATTTTTAGTGTTCATCTTGACAGTACTGTGTAAACTCTCTGACACAGCTAGATTTCACAACTTAGTCACTCTTATAGCTAATAATACCGCCACGTTTTATGTTTTGTTTTGTCGTCTCGTGTACATCAAGCAGTCCTCCTACTTTTATCAAGCTTTGATTGAAAAGCAAGCTACAAACAAGCATGATGGAAACTCCCAAAAATAACCTAATGATGACTTCAGTCCCCAGGAAAGTCATTACCAGCATGCCTAAGATGCCCTCCAGCTCTTGCGCGTGAGTGCATGTTTGTACAAAACTGCCTCAAAACGCCAGCTCAAGTCTGAATATTCGTGAACACACACAGGAGTAAGGCTTATGGAAGAAATGCAGAGAAGAAAGGCACAGCAGATATAGAGGTGACACAGCTGAGGCGGCTGCTACCCGTCCTGAGTGATGCTAATAAAAGGTGGTCTGGAGCTAACTTTTATAGCTCAACCACACACACGCTGACACACACGTATAGAGCTGCATTGCAGATACCAATGACCTCTAACACAGTGTCTCCCTAACAGCCTTCATGCATCAATCGTGCCTATACATGCCGCTTACTTATAGCAGTCCAGGACCTCATGTATTAGCGCTCTGCTGCTAAGAGTCCTGTAATCACTGTAATATTTTAGTTAGGTCAGTGAAACCTGCATTAAAGTTGTCCCTGTTACTCTGATGTCATACAGTTGCATCCAGTCGGGTTAAAAGAAAAAGCACAACTTTGAAAACCATTATTCGAATTGGAAGAGTATTATTTCCAGAATATGAATTACATTTATTTATTATTATCAGACAGACTACAGTCTCAATTATAATGCGTCATCTCAAGGCAATGCAGACAGTGATTGGATACAGGGCCATGTTGGTTAAAGTGTCCACTCCCCTAACAAAACAAAGGGATGAGTTAAAAAAAATAATGATGGGTGTTCCTTATATGCCATCTGTTAATCTGCTTCAGCTTCACTATGATTGCTCGACACCAGCTATCGATGTGTGCACCACTGGTGTTTTTCAGTGAGACCCAGCAGGATTGACATTAAAATTAAGTTACGATCACTGGAAAGTTTGCTTCACCTCACACGGAGGCCTTCACAGACACGCTAGCTTCCCGGGCGTTCGTGAAGGCTGTCGACTTCAATTTCACACGTCATAAAGCAAACTCTGCTACAGACCAGAGGGCAACTCAACAGTGCAGTTCATCCTTAAACTGCAGAATTAGTCCAGTGTGGTAAAGATAAAAAAAATAGTTCCAATATTGTCACTTCACCGAATGCAGCCGAATTTCAACTTCACTTTTGTTAACCTCTCACAGTTAAGACGACTTGCTCTAATCTCTAATCTGACCAAACTTGCTCTTAAATTTTTCACGTTAGAAAACTTGAGCTTGGCTGTCCTCAGCTGAGTTGAGCACTGTGTAAATGAGGTGGAGGTTGTGGTATTTGTCCTTGATGTAGTGCACTGTTTGTTTGAATACTGATGATGATGGTGAGCGTTCTTGTCAGATTGGCTTGTTAGCGGCTTTACAGCAGCTGCGTCTCAGTCCAAGCTCATTTCAGAGACCAGGAAACTTGATCATATTTCCATTTCTGAGAGGTTTATGCTTTGTGCCTTTTCTTCAGCTCAAGGTGGTGTTGTAGACACTTGTCGCTGTCTGGTCAGATCCAGGCACATAATGAGAAGCCTACATCAATATATGGTTAAGGAAGTACTCAATGTTGTACATTTAGGCTGTTGTCGTTTTATTTATACTGTAAGTGCGTCATTCCATTAAAATTCAGTGGAAAAACAAATAGTATTTCCCCAGCTTACATCATAAATACATTGCACTTTTTGGGCCCTTCCCCCCCCTTTTTTTTTTTTTTTTTTTTTTACTTCTCTATTTAATATTCATTATGCTGATGTGCATGATGGATGTTCACTTTATACTCGGTATTTAGTAGAGATTTAGAACAGCTTGTTTGTAATCTGCTCGATTGTTTTATCATTTTAAGGTCACATAGTTATTGCTGATATAGTATTTTATTTTATTTTACCTTAGGAAGGGAGAACAGGCCTTATTACATATATTTGAGTAAAATAAAAGGACAGTTGAATAACTATTTTTTGTTTCCTGTAAAAGCCTGACTTGTTGTCCCTTTGTTCCAGTGTCCCTACGTTTAAGTATTTGTAGATAAATAAAACAACATCAAATAAAATACATTGATATTCCATTCAATTCAAGTGTTACCATTATATCAATATTCAGCCATTTCTGTGAGTGTTTGATGGGGCAACAAGCTCGAAGACAGCTAATACAGCACTTAATTTAAGGAGTCAGGAACGATGTGGCTAATTGAGTGTTGTGTTTCTGTCCTGCTGGCAGGGCCACAGAAAAGATCCTGGCCCGAGCACGGCAGCTGGTCGATGTTAAAAAAGAGGACGGCTTCTCTGCGCTGCATCTGGCGGCTCTCAACAACCACAAAGATGTCGCAGAAATCCTCATCAAGGAGGCGAGTTGACCATACGTTTGCATATTTACCTGTTTAAACCGATGCTTTTGTTGTAAAACTTAAAAAAAAAATGTATTTCTTTTTGCTCTTCTTCTTCTACAGGGGCGCTGTGACATCAACATCCGAAACAACCGGAACCAGACGCCGCTTCAGCTGGCGGTGACGCAGGGCCACACAGAGTTGGTGCAGCTGCTGGTGGACGAGGGCGCCGACGTCAACATGGAGGACGAGGACGGTGACACGGCCATGCACGTGGCCCTCCTCCGCCCGCAGCTGGCCAACGTTATGCTCAGCCCATCCGTAGGTACCAGCAGCAGTGAGGAGAGCAGCGACGGATGTTCCTCCACGTCTCTGTACTGCAGGGTGAGAACTGACTGGGAGGGGGAGGTGGCATGTTGTTAAATTTGTTCTTTTCATTTTTAAAAGATTCCTTCGAGGGGAGCGCCTGGTTTGATGAAACTGTTTTACTGCTACACCAAAGTTCACCACTTTTTAACTTTTGCGATTCCCGTTATGATGGGATAGATTTAAAACATGAGATTGGCATTTAACAGATCCTCTACTGTTGAATTCTTGGTGTTGCTGGAAGTGGATCAAATGAAAAGAGAGCAAGAGAAAAGATGCTGTTTGACAGGATGAAATGGTGGCTAAATAAAACCTGGCAACAAGGTAAATATAGGACAAAGACAAGGTTACTAAGACTACTAAGAGATGTAAATATAGACTGGATAAGAGAGTAAATGGCGATCAGAACATTACTTTAGAGCTGGAGAAAGATTATTGTGGGCTTTAGAGTGTAAGTGCAGGCTCATAGTAGGGTAAATAAAGGCTAATAAGGGTCGAGGATAAAATGATGGACATAGATGAATAAGTGTTACACTATTTACCCTTAGTTCTGGGGGTTAATTTGGTGTAAGAGAGTTAGTTGACTTTACCAGGTAAACAGCAGGATGAGTGTGAGAAGGAGTTGGAAGGACTCACCTTAAAGATGGCCTTAAATAAGGAGTAAGGACTTTGGCAGGTTGTATAAACATGGCAGAAGAGTGGGGTTAACTGCGGACAAAGTAATGAGGAGTGCAGTGAAATGATACCATATATAGTTTAAAGCAGGGGCTGCATGCCCAGTGAAGCTATAGACATTTGAACAATAAGCCCTCAACATTTAGGATTTCGTAAGATGACTGTGTCTTTGACTCTAATCTCGTTCTGTGGCTTTAAAAGAAAATACTGGCAGAGACTTTGTAATAAATGAGAGAACGGCTAATTCTACTACTTGTAGTTAATTCAAAGTGTACGTTGTTAATACAAACATGCTTTGCTGAGCCGTTAGGACCGCTCTGACATCATCAAAATGGGAAATAAATGGATTTAGGTCACATGATTTCCACGTATTCCTACACTGGGAAAAGAGAGGTTCCGGTAATTAGATAGATGCTAACTTTGTTTATCTGTTGTTTGATACTTGGCTGAATCTTTTACTCATGAGAAGTAGCCTAATATTCATTTTACACAGACCTTGACTCTTTGCTTTGAGCAGCACTTTAATTGCTGTTCCACCAGTTCGTGTTGGTATCATTGCACCAGTGAAGAAGAACGTCCTTTCTAGTATACATGACCGCAAACACTGCAGCTCCTCTCAGCATCCTGGACACCTGCCAAGCGCACACTAATACACACACATACACAGCCATGAAGGTGGCTAGACTTAAGTGCTCTGGGCTGTTCTGGCCACTGTCAGCAGATGAGTTATTAGGAGTTCTTCTGTGCTGATTAGGAGTGCAATTATATATCAGCCTTAGCTGGGTTGCACTGTTTTTACTTCAGTTACCTGGTGTTGCTTAAATTCAGCTCCTGGAGGTTTTTAAGTTGTTCTCAGCTCTCACCGTTCGGATCAGCTGTTAGGTTTTTAAAGAGTGCGTCTCTAAAACGGTCTAAAATTCCTCTCCCCTCCCTTATCTTCTCTGTCCACAGCTGAACGCGACAGGTCTTCTGGGGAGTACGGAGCTGAGCGTAGGCACAGCTGTCGCCTGTTTTCTAGCGATGGAAGGTGCTGACATCAGCTACGCCAACCACAAGGGCAAGAGTCCTCTGGACTTGGTGGCAGACAGCACCATGCTGCAGCTCATCAAGAGCTTCTCTGAGAAGCACAGGTAGCCGTTTGCAAAATTAGGGTTGAAGTACACGAAGCGGTGGCTGATATTTTTATGATGCATAGTTCATAAAACATTCTGACGGTCATATTTACACTCTTATGTGCTATTTTTCATTGAAATGACAAACAGAAAACAGTTGCTAAGGAATAAGCGCTGGTGTGTGGGAGTCAGCTGAGGTTAAAAAAGGAAGCCTTGGTTTAGTGGGGCGTTATAGCTGTGTGTTGTGTGTCAGGTTGCAGCGCCTGCAGGCCATCACATGCGGACAGGGCCTGAGCAGCGCCAGCCTGCGGCGGGTCCACACGACGCCCAACACCATGACCAACCTGGTTCTACCAACGCCGCCCGGGCCCAGCGAATGCCTCATCTGCTCCGAGCTGGCTCTTCTGGTTCTCTTCTGCCCCTGCCAGCACAGTGTGGCCTGTGAAGGTGGGCTGTGCCTTTTTTCTCTCTGTGTTGTTTGCTCTACTTTCATTATTGAATGTCAAACAGTATTGTTATTGATACAGACAAAAATAGACTTTGAGTCTAATTGATCCTTGGCTAATGCGGTGCTTGTCCAAACAGAATGTGCCCATCGCATGAAGAAGTGCATCAAATGCCAGGTCACAATCACCAAGAAAATTAGGCAAGGTAAGTTCTAGCTGCTTTACTGTCCGAAATCTTAAGCCTTAAATGTTTCTTGTTATCTTAATGTTTATTCATGAGATTATTTAATCATTTATGATGTCCTAAAGACGACGTCTCCGTATTCGTGGTGCTCTCTGGTCACTCAGACGCAGCCTTGAATGGTAAATGAAAGCAGCTGTGTGTTCTGGACACTGCTGTCTCCGTGTTAACCTTATTATTTTTGAACCATTAGTACAGCAGGACGGTCTCATCTTGCACAGCACTGCACAGTCTGCATAAAATGAACTCGTTTAATAACGATGACCTCCCTCCACAGACCAAACGGAGGTGGACTGCAGCCCCGGCACCGAGAACTCAGAGCAGCACAACCTGCTCGAACAACTGCAGTCCCGCTACCGTCAGATGGAGGAGAGGATGACCTGTCCCATCTGCATCGACAACCACATCAAGCTGGTCTTCCAGTGCGGGCACGCCTCCTGCATCGACTGCAGCGCCGCGCTTAAGACCTGCCCGATCTGCCGGCAGACCATCCGCGAGCGGATCCAGCTGTTTGTCTGAGCTTCTCTCTCCGCTCAGTCCAGAGAATAGTGGAGGGGGGCATCGGAGAGAAGCGAGGCTGGGGATGGGCAGTGGGCAGCTGTTATTTTGGACACCCCCAGTAACCCCAACCATCCCCTTGGATCAGCCCACAGGCTGCTTGACTATCAGATGCTGTATTAAATCACTGAGAGGCCACCTTGTGTTCGGAGTAGCTTTCATCGAGCAGCGCAGGCAGGAACGTGTTTATTAATTTAATTCGATTTTCAGCTCCAGGACATATGTTTAGCTGAGTACGACAGTCAAAGTCACGAGACGACGCCGCTGCTTTGATTGGCAAGCTGGGAGGGTAAAAAAACGCCCCTCCCCTCACTCACTACTTCTTTTCCTCACTCCCACCCAGCCTCTGCCTCGTGTAATCTGTCCTCTCTTTGCTGCTTTAAGTGGATGTTTGTCCCATCATCCTCTCTGGCTCTCTGGCCACATCTGTTTACAAGGCTGCGCAGAAATCACTTCTCATCTTGCTCCTCAGCCTGTCCTGTGAATTATGTTTGCTCTCATTTGTATCAGTCTCTTAATAATCAGTGTTAGTCTCTGCAGAGGGAGTTGGTATAACTAAAGGCTCTCTATATAATCCCCAACCAATTGTCTGTATGCAAGGGGAAATACACACTGTATATGCATGAACATATGCATATTGCAAAGCTGAAAAGGACCGTGTCGTCATGGGTGATTTGTTGTCGTTTTCTTTCTCTCTGCTTACATTTGTGGTTTATAACGTACCTACGAGTACAGGTGTGTATTTATGTGTGAAAGGTGGTATTACTTAGTAATGTCCTTTTTCGGCCAAAAGGTTTTTGGTTTCTACTGAAGTTCACCCCCAAGCCTATGTCCTCTACTCAGGGTATCAAATCATTGAAAGCACTTGGAATATCCATACAGAATTAAAGAGCCACCCCCAGACGCACACACACACACACAGACTCTCAGACACACACACCACACACACAGATACACAGCATTATAAAGCAACAGGTTACTGAAACGAAAGGTTGGAGAGTTGGGCATACTGACTAAGAACTGAAGTAGAAACACTTTGTCTAAAGTCACAGTTTCATTCTCATTAGTTAAACGAATGTTTGCAACAAAGCTGATGTTTTCCTCTGAAAATACAAGAAAAAAAAAAAAAGTCCACCAAGCTTCCCAGAAGAACCAGTCGGCTTCATTTCTGTGTTTCACTTTGTGTGTGGCGACCACTCGGTCTGTCTGTCACACGGCTGGTGCGGAGAACCCAGCGAGCACACACTTTAACAGCTATTTTGTTACCAAACCCACCAGATGTATTGTAAGATCTAGAATCAGAAGGGCAAAAACATTGCGTAGTCGTGTCACTTGTGTATTTCCTTCCACGTCTACCTTTGTAGTCCAGTCTTTTCAGAAGAAAGCCTCCCTTTCTCCTCTGGAGTTCTGGATTGTATATCATCCTGATATCTGTTCTTGGTGTGTTAACTTGAAGGGCTTATGCAGAGATATATATATGTATGTATATATATGTATGTATATATATATATATGTTATGTATATATATATATATATATGTATGTATATATATATATATGTATGTATATATATGTATATATATGTATATATAGTATGTGTGTATATATGTGTGTATATATGTGTGTGTATATATGTGTGTGTATATATGTATGTGTATATATGTAGTATATATGTATGTGTATATGTATGTGTATATATGTATGTGTATATATGATGAATATATATGTATGTATATATGTATGTATATATATATGTATGTATATATATATGTATATGTATGTATATGTGTATGTATATAGTATATTGTGTTATATATATATGTATATGTTATATATATATATATATATGTATATATATATATATATATATATATTTTGTGTGTAGTATATATATGTATTTGTATAATATGTATATATATGTATGTGTATATATGTATATATATATCTATATATATATATTATATATATCAATATTATTATAATTTTTTACTATATAATTTGTATAAATATTCGTATACACACACACACACACACACACACACACACACACACACACAGAAAAGAAACCCAGAAAACCCACTAAGAAGCAGCCAACATGTAACATACATACATACATACATACATACATACATACATATACGTATATATGTGTGTGTATAAATCTTAATTTAATTTTTATTTTCGGACATAAACTTCCAGAGACATTTTTTTTTTCTTCATTGGATCCCAAATTTTGGGAGAGGCAATGTTAAAAAGATGTACATTTGAATGTTTTTTTTTGGGAGGGGGTATATCCGGTCTCACTCTGCCTTTCTTATGTATAAAGAAAAAAAAAAAAGGTAACAGAGAAGGAGCTGGAGAAACCAAGGGGTACCACAAGATTTGCTTTGAGGAAATAATTTTTCTTTTCTTTTTTTTTATCAGTGCCAAATCGCATGAGGATGTGCATGGGCATGCACGCCCGAAATTACCTAGACGCACTATGCTAAACCCCTCTAAGCTCAAGCGAGGGTTCAGTTATTCCAGCAGTGTGAAGTGAACTAAAAAAAAAAAGAAGCTAATTTTCATGTTTTGTTTTTTTAGGTTAGAATCAGAAATATTATCACAGCACACTCGGTTACTGATGTTAGCAGCTGAGCTAATGGTGTTAGCCTTTTAACTTTAGCTTACTGTTTTGAACCTCCTCGTGTTCTCAAAGAAACGTGATGTTACACACTTCTGAAATATTATCAGTCCCATATCGTTTGGAGCTTTTTACAAGTATATATATATATATATTTATATTTTGTGAGACATTGTCAATCAAGGGACACGTTTCTTACAGAAATTTCAGCATTTTAAGGATTGTTGGTGTTTTAAGGTGATGGGTTTACAGGCAAAGGCAATAATGTTCTAGAAAAAAAGGGGAAGATGTTTGTGGTTTTTTGTTTGTTTTTGTTTTTTTAAGGAGGTCGCTGTGAGGGCGGGAAACAATTTATGTATAAAAATTATATTAAAGCAGCAGTTGTTACTATTGGTGTTTGTACATTTCAGCTCTTGGAGTTCTGATGTTGGCCTTACTGTCCATTCCTCCTCTGTTGATGTTTTTTCAGTTGTATTCTGTACAAAAATATTTTGCAATAAATATGGAACTGTTTTCTAAGGACTTGGGCTTCTCCTATGCTTCATTTCTTAATTTAAACAATGAGATTTCCTTACCTCAGTTGAGTGTGCTGCATTTTCCCCTTGACTTGAAGCATGCTTGCAGAAATCAAGAGTCAGCAGCAACAGAATCAGATGCTAACCTCTGTGAATGAATGGTTAACTTATTAATTATATTTTAGATTGAAAAGGTAGCTCATTCTTTCAAATTTCACAGATTAAGCTGCATGTTTGTCAAAATTTTATTTGTAGAATAATGTGTCCAGTCATATCGACACATCTTGTTTAAAGTGATGTGACAAGATGCTGTTTTTAACAAAGGAAACCTCTCAGCTGACCAGATATCCGTCAGTTCTTCTCATGGATGGAGGCTTGAATCTAACCCAGCTGTGCATACCTCAGTTTATAGTCACCACTATTTTTTACAAACATATATGGATGTCTTACAATGTTTCTATAATGTTTTTAGCTATTTTTATTATATTCCTCTGTTCAGCACTTTGGCCGACGCTTGATGTGTTTTAAATGTGCTATATAAATAAAGATGACTTGACCAGATAACCTAACCCCATGCATGTCTTTGAAATGTGGGAGAAAGTCTGAGTACTCTGAGACAACCCACGCAGACACAAGGAGAACGTGAAGTCCCCACAGGAAGGCCCCAGCCAGGATTTGAACCAGGACCTTCTTGCTGTGAGGTGATGATGCTAATCGCTGCACTGCTGTGCTAGCCATAGTGCAAACTCACATTGTTGGACAAGAAGTACTCTGAAAAAAAGCTTTTGATCATATGTTTGTGATTAAAAAACAAATGACTTCTTCAGGAACATTGTACATGTATTCAAATTATTATATAGCATCATCACTTTGTCCTTCGGATTGATCGATGGTGCAGTTCTTAGCACTATCCCCTCACAGCAAAGCGGTTTTGGGTTTGAACCGTATGTATGGGTAGAACTTTTTTGTCTGGGTTTCCTCTCACAGTACAAAGATGTGAAATTGCACCCCGAGGACAGTCCCACGATTTACACCTGTCATATCTCCAAACATGTAGCTCAATTTCAGCTGCCTATATAAAAAACAAATGATGATGCTGATTATTATTATGTGCCCTTTGACACTGGTGAATAGCCTTCACAGTATTGACAGGAATGCTTTAGATTTGTTTTCAAATAGTTTTTTTTCTCCCTAATCTGAAGGAGTTCTCCAGGGCTCCACATTAGGAATACTGATCTTCTCTGTATATAGTCATTTATGAAATGCTTGGTCCATTTTTATCCAGATAATTCAGCGATCTCACCCTAGAGTAACACAAACCCTGTAAAACCTTACCTACAGTACATCGCACTTCCTTTTTATAATAGTGAAAATTTGATTAATAACGTGTTAATAATCTTTCTTTGTGGTAAAATCTCTTTCCTGTTACTGAAAATCCTGTTATAGTAACAGAGTGGATACCTTGAACGAATGATACCATGGTGTTATCTGTTTTCTTTTTTATTTCATGTTTTATTTTTTTAATATAGATGAAATCAAGAAATAGCGGGGGTATCTTTGTAGTTACATGCAGGAAATAAAAATAGGTCAACAATACAATTTGAGTTCAATTTAAAGGTCTTATTTTCAGGATAATGAATGTTTATGAGCAACACATTTCCAGGGTAAAGTGTCATCAACAGAGATGACAATGTCCTGTAACAAGGTCTCAGTCTGGCCTGTGTCATGAATTTGATCAGAATGACCCACAGTATCCTTACCTGAACCATTATGGACTCTTCATCAAAGCAAAGGATTAAATCATGGAAAGTTTTGCACTCAGTTATTGTTAAGAATGATCCTGTTAGTATTCTCGATTTTCGAAGCCCTTTTTGTTGCTGCCTCGTCTCCCTGCTAATCCTTACCTTCATCAGTGCACACCTGCTTATTTTCAGACACTATTTTCATTCCTGTTTTCACCCACACAGCAAAGAAATTGATTTTTTGCAGCCTGTGAGAAAT